CAGCCGCGCAGCGCCGCCTCGGGCAGCTGGTGCAGCCGCACCTGGCGCAGCAGGCGCGGCAGGTGCTCCCGCCTCGCCTCCAGGTCATGCTTGGTCCAGGCGAGGGCGGCCTGCAGCACGGTTTCTTCTTCGGGAACATCCAGTTCGTCCGACCCCAGGCACTTCTGCAGCACTCCCAAGCTCATCTCCAGGAAGTCGCTGGACTTCAGCAGCAAGGAGAAGTGACGCTGTGCGAAGGACAAGGCGTGATCAAACAGACGGGCGGAGCCGTAGCTATCCGAGAGGGACAGTAGCTGCAAACAATTGGCAACATTAATACTCTTTATTAAAAAGTCGCTGCAAGCTTTGGATAGGAAGGAGACCTGAAGGAAGGACGACAGCTGGAAGAACATTTCCACGTTGTCGTCTGTTATCTTTGTTTTTCCAGTATAGGCGTAATCGAGAAACGCTTTCACTGCTTTGGAAGACAAGTTAGTAATGGTAACACTCCCACCGTCTCTCTCTTTCATGTTGACTTCGAACATGGCCCTGCAAAAATAAGGAACAGAGGAGTAAACAGAAGCATCCCAGTCCGCGATAATTTTCAACACTGCCTTAAAGAGGTTTCCTTTACCCTGAAGTTGATTTAAAACATATTTATAAAATGTATTTCAAGGCATCCTAATAAATTATTTAAATATCTAGAATGGTTATATCCGATACTATTTATCTGTAAAACATATGTATTACACAACTCCCATGTTGCAAAATATATCTGTTATACCTGGGGTATAGCAACTAATTCAAAGGAGGCTATAAAAAAAGACTCAAATTTTGTACACTGATTTGATGTTCTTATATATTATTCATAAAATCAGGGTAAAATCTCTCCACTGGCTGAATTTATTTATTTATGGGTTACTCAGTATCAGCTCTGCAGGTGATAACTTAAATTGCTTAAGATCTATAAGGCTTCTGCGTTTAGTATTTAAAAGTCTCTTTCAAATGAGTTTTCAGTTTGGCAGCAGGGAGACCTGTGAAAGGTGTAATGCAGTGAGATATCAGATGTCCCCAATGCATCTGTCTGTGTGAGGACATCCACCAAGTTAGACGAACATACATCTAAAACGAAACATTTCATACAGCACTTCAGGAAAGAGGGAACGTAATTTCATAAAACTAAATAACAGTGTCCCACACCTACGGTCACATATCTAATAAGTGGTGGAGCTGGGATTTAGATTTAGGGCGTGTGTATTAAGAGGCCAAGCCCTTCACCATTATACTACATCGCTTCCTCTGATAAAGAGGTGACATGAGGAGAAGGGAGCGCAAAGAACCACCTGGAAGGAAACCTGGAAGGAACGTGAAACCTGAGAGTGACAGAGTATAAAAGCAGTTAGGGCTCCAGTGAGGTATGAAGAATAACTGAAGTTACCTGAGAGAAAACATGAAAAAAATAGATGAAAACATCCAGTGGAGTCAGCAAACAGCTAATAAAAGCTGTATTTTTATCTTAAATCTTCCTCTGTTTTTTTAAGTTTGTTTATTAGAGATTTAAACCCTGTTTATTGCAAATAAAAATAGCTTCCAAAATTGAACATAATGCAAAAGATTGCAACGAGGACTTTTTACTGCAGTATGACTAGGAGGGCTGAAGACCAGGATGCCACCGAGAGGCCTCACAGGGCGGGTCACGAGTCTGACCCTTAACCTTGCAGGATCAAAAACCCAATGTAAACAGTGGGTTCTTACAGTGTCGTGACTAGGACACTTCGTAAGATGATCTACATGGGGAACCCACTTATATTCAGAGGGTTGCCTAGAATGGAAACGAGCTGGGTGCTCTCCAAAAATGCTCTGGAGGTACTTTTCCCTAGTATAGAAACGTCTCTGCCAGAGAGGAGAAATCTTGAAATCCTCTGGGTTCAGGTCCGTCTCCTCTGAATAATCCACTGATACAACAGACGACTGAAATGTGTTTTCCTGTCAGACTTTTCGTTTTCTTTCAACTTTGCTTCCATTTTGGATCAATCTGTCCTTTCTTCTTTTTCTAAGGGATACAGTGCAAGGATCCCCTAAATAAAATGACCCCCGATGAAAACAATTTTTCCCTTGAACACTTTAAGGGACTAATGTTCCATAAAACTTCACAAAAGACAGTCCTAAATTTCACACTCAAAAAACATTAGTTAATCTAGGTTCTAATTAGCTCTTTTTAATAATTAAAAATTACTGTTGCATGTTCCTGTGGATGGAAAATTGAGTAGAGTTTAAAAAAATAACTTAATTATCCATATCATAAAATCTGAGACATAAACAAGGTAAAGTACCTGAAAAAGTCACTGCATGCTGCTAACACACAACGATGACATGGGATCACTTCATCTTTCATGATTATTTTGAAATCATAAAAGACATCTTGTTCTCTAAAATTCTGCAGTACACTTAAGATTTTCTGCCCATGATCTTCTGACACAAGGAAGTTGTTTATCTTCTCCGATGGAATTCCATTACATGCGCTGCGTTCACTGAAATCATATGAGTTATCCATAGCTGATTTCTATCTTGTTCTTAGAACTGAAATGAAAAGAAAATCACTGAAGTCGAGTCCTAATACAATTTTCACATCAAACTTTGCCCTCTTTGTTTATCAATTACAAAAAGTGTTCACTGAGAACAATCATAAGATAGTAAACCTTGTTCTAAACATTTGTTTCCTATGACACTTAAAAATAAATTCCTTTTAAATTTTTATAAAGATTGTGCTCACTGGAATACAAAGTATATTATTATGGAATAAAGTTCAAGACTACATAAATGTGTTAAGTAGCACAATTTATAAATTGTGTAAATAGCTTCTATAGGATCTCACTACACTACTAATCTTGTTATATAGAAGAACTATTATTTATATAGCAGTTATCATTTGGGTATATACCCAATACATCCCTGTTCCTGCCCATTCACTGTCTTTTGGTAACGAAGCAGATGTTAAAATATTGAATTTGAAGCAGAACAATATGCCTTTGGGGGTCATACTTTTAAAAGACAACTGACTGGGGTGGGGGGGCGGTGGGAGTGTTAAATTGTATTAACTATTTATGGCCTTTAAAAAGGCAAGCATTGGTCCACTTTGGCCTATTTGAAAGCAGAAAGAAACAGCAAACAACTTTATTTTAAAGGCCTTTTAAACGTGAGATCAGAAATCCCAGATAGTTGAAGGCCAGGTGACTGTGCCTTTCCCAAACTGCAAATTCAGTTCTAAGCATGAAAGTTTACACCACCAAAAGCAAGGAAGTGGGAAACAGGAAGGAAAAGAAGAGAGGAACTAGAAGAGCCAGAGAAATAGAGAACCTTGATTTCTTAAGATATTTCTGTGTTGGCTATCTGTTGCTTTGTAAATCGCCCCAAAATTTAGTGGCTTAAGATAACAATTTATAATCTCTTATGGTTCTGTGGGATTAGCTGAAGCTTCTTGCTAGGGGGTTTTCGTGTGGTTAGCATTAGATGGCAGCTCTGGCTGAAGTCATCTGAAGGCCTGACTGGGTCAGAGGTCCAATACGGTTTCTTCATTCACATTTCTGATGCTTCATACGGATTGCTACAACACATGGGACCTCTCTCTCTCCCTCAGTGACTCCATGTGGCTTATATTTCCTCACATGCGGCAATCTCACGGTACGTGGACTTCTTAACATGGTGGCTGGTTCCCCCAGAGGGGGTGTTCCAAGCCTAGGTGGAAACCAGACACTGGAGAAGGAGTCTGAATGGTCCTACAGCATCGATCAAAGCTCCATCCTAGGACTGGGACAATTTACTGCTGTGGACAGTAACCATGAACCCTGTATAGCTATTTAAATTTAATTTACCCAAATAAAATTTAAAAATTAGTTTCTTAGTTGCTCTAGACATATTTCAAGTGATCAGTAGCCATATATAGTGTGAGGGTTACTTTTATGTGTCAAGTTCACTGCGCCACAGAGGATCTATATGCTATTTGCCTAACTTTTGTAGAAGTGTCCAAGAGGGTATTTCTGGATGACATTAACATTTTAATCAGTAGACTGAGTAAAGCAGATTGTCTTCCTTAACATGAAGGGGACTCACCCAATCCACTGAAGGCCTGAAGAAAACAACAGGCTGAATAAGAAAAAGTTCTTTCTCTCTACCTGTTTTTGAGTTGGGATACCAGGCTTCTCCCACCTTTGAACTAAGACTGAGACCAACTTTACTACCAGCTCTCCCGGAGCTCCAGCTTGCTGACTGCAGACCTTGGGACTTCTCCACAAACATGCAAACTCCTTATAGTAAATCAACCTTTCTTTCTTTCTTATAGTAAACCAACCTTCCTTCCTTCCTTCCTTCCTTCCTTCCTTCCTTCCTTCCTTCCTTCCTTCCTTTTTCTTCCTTTCTTCCTTCCTTCCTTCCTTCCTTCCTTCCTTCTTCCTTCCTTCCTCTCTCTTTATTATCTATCATCTATCTATCTATCATCTATCTATCATCTATCTATCTATCTATCTATCTATCTATCTATCTATCTATCCATCTATCTATCATCTATCTATCTATCTATCTATCTATCATCTATCTATCATCTATCTATCATCTATCTATCTATCTATCATCTATCTATCATCTGTCATCTTTCTATCTATCCCTCCCTCCCTCCAATTAGTTTGTTTCTCTGGAGAGCCCCCAACTAATACATGTGTCTAGTGCCTACTGTATTTTATAGCATGAATACAGAAAGCCCCACTGGATAGGTGATGTACTGTATTAACAACAGTATACCCACATAGGGGTGTCTGTATGTGATGTGTGTGTATGTGTGAGTACGTTTGTGTGCATGCATACTAGGATGTAACTGGCAGAATTACTGGAAAAATAAGTTACCTGCAATAATTTTGTAAGCATTATTCTGAGTAGCTGTAAGCAGGGAGACATATTAAATTGTTTGCGGGTAGTTTTTATCCCACGCTCTACTACCAGTCAACGTAAAAGGTATAAATACGTTTCCCGCATACACTGTGTTAAGAATGAGAGTGGCTGTCATGGAAGGAAAAAGATGAGAGGCTTGGGGACAGTACTAAACCTGAAGCCGGACACAATGGGTCCAGGCTGCCAGTCACTACTTGAGCCAATTAAGCAGAGACGAGGCTGAATTGTATATGAACATTTATTCTAATAATGCCAGCAATATGGGAGAACAGTATATTCATCAACATAAAATCCGCTCTACTCCCTCCCCCCCCCAAAATAAGCCAGCTGCTTACACTGGGGACAAAGATTACATGGGGAAGTGGGCAAAGGGAATAAGAATGGGTATTACAGGAAATGGGGGCTGGGGGTTGCAAAAGGGAGGGGCACCTGCGGGACCCTTTGTTTCAGCAACAAGGTTGTTAATCTTTCCATGACAGGCAGTTAAGAAGAATGGCTCACATTCTGAATGTCCTGGGGCGTACAACTCTCAGCCAGGTTATAATGTGCTTTCTCTAACTCAGAACAGAACAATCACAGTTAACAGAGCATGATTAATATTTCCACTCCTAACAACCAGGGTGTTAGACCTGGTCTATTTCTCAAGACTAGCAATGGGCTGGAGCATTAATGTGTTACAGCAATGTAGAGTTTTCTCTCCATGGCCTGCCTCAGAGAACCACAGAACTGGTTGGGAGATTCGGTCTCTACGCCCACCCAAGTCAGCAAAAATGGAATGGAGAGCCTAGAATTCTACCTTGCCAAGGTGTAATGAGGTGCCGCAACTCTCTTCCCATCCTCCCACTACAGTAATATCAGAGAAGGTTGAGTAGACAGCCAGGACATTAATATCTACAGAGTGATAACAGTGTCCATCAATCAACTCCCCCTCACCGTAAGTCAAGATCATGTGGCACATGGGGAGCCTGAACTTCTCCTCCCACCTGGCATTAACATGGCATTCCTCCCTTCCTTGCTGGAGTCGAGTCAAAGGCATAGTGTAGAGTCAAGAATTTCACTATCACTCAGCAGCAGCAAGCCACCTTCCCAGAATGTCAGTGGCGACCACATGAGGAGCAGTAGCAAGGTGCCCCTTCTTCTCCCAGCCACAGTGGTATCAGAGGATGCAGAGAGGGGAGCCTGAACTCCCAACTCTATCCAGTAGTAAAAAGGAGTCTCTCCTATCACAGGAGTCAACAAAGGTGAGGCAGATAATCTGAACTTCTACCTCGACCTGGAAGTAATGAGGTGGGGACCTTAAGTGAAGAGAGCAGTCGCAGAAAAACCTGCTAACATGCAAAGTTTAAATAAAGTCTAGAGTCTTAAAACATAATATTCTATATATTCAAGAACCAGAAATATATCAAATTGAATGAGAAAAAATAATGAACAGATACCAACACTGAAATGATACAGATGTTAGAATTATCTGCCAAGAATTAAAATTTTTTTTTTTAATCCTCACCTGAGGATATTTTTTCCATTGCTTTTTAGAGAGAGTGGAAGGGAGAGAGAGAGAGAAACATCAGTGTGAGAGAGACACACTGACTGGTTGCCTCCCATATGAGCCCTAACAGGGGGCCGGGGATAGAGCCTGCAACCGAGGTATGTGCCCTTGACCGGAATTGAACCCATGACCCTCTGGTGTGCAGGCCGATGCTCTAACTACTTGGCCAGGCTGGCCAGGGCTGCCAAGAATTTTAAAATAGTCATCACAGAAATGCTTCAATGAGCAATTATAAACATGAGGCAAATGAAAAAATAGAAAATCTCAGTAAAGAAGAAGAAAATATAAAGAAGCAAATGAAAATTTTAGAGCAAATGCAATAACAAAATATAATAGGGAGGGGAGGAGAATCAATGAGCTTGAAGAGAAAATAACAGAAACCACACAATCTGAACATTGTGTAACACAATGAAAAAAACAGACTGAAAACTGAAAAATCAGATTGAAAAACAAATGAACAACCTGAAGAACCTATGGGACTATAATAAAAAAAAACACAACTAACACTCATATCATCAAAGTACCGTAAGGAAAGGAAAAAGAGATTGGGACTAAAAAACGACTTAAAGAAATAATGACTGAAAATGTCCAAAATTTAGCAAAAGACATAAACCTACAGATTCAGGAACCTGAGTGAAGCCCAAACAACATAAATCTAAAGAAATCTATGCTACGGAAGATCACAAACTTCTAAAAACTAAAGACAAAAAAAAAATCTTGTACATAGTGAGAGAGAAACACTTCATCTATAAGAGAAAATCAATTTGAATGACTGAATTTATCATGAAAAAATATGGACGCCGGAGGAAGTGGAATAATATTTTCTAGTGCTGAGAGATAAGAATTGTCAATCCAGAATTCTATATCCATCAAAAATATCCTTTGGGAATGTAAGAGAAATCAAGACATTCCGAGATGAGGGGAAAATAAGAGAATTTCTCATGAGCACACCTAATCTAAAAAGGTGGATAAGAAAGTTCTCTAACCAGTAGTTTAACAATAAAAAGAAACTTGTAATAACAAGAAGGAAAGAAAAAAATAGAGTAAGAGCAATAATATGGTTAAATACAACACTTTGTATCTCTTCTTGCTT